GGCAAGATGGAGGCTGAAAGGAATTTACATAAATACACATGTGACGTCATTCCTTAACACTGCACATGACCGGTAGTGAAAGATATCATGGGAGTATATAAGAAATTAATCTACATGGATGTTGGTTTACCATAACACGGCTATGGGAGAATAATACTAAAGCAAGGTCAATTGGCCTGACAAGAATGATAAAAAACATTATAACAATTTAAGAGATACACTGAGAGCGAGACCACCGGAAGTGGTAGTTTAAACAAACTGCCATAGCACATGGCAAAGGATAAATCTACCAGTGGTGAGTGGTAAAGTAAAGGCGTTAGGGTTGAGATACTATGAGATGAACTGCATATAATGACATGGATGGTATTATCATTGCACAAACAAAAATATTAAATTGACATCTTTCGCTGCCTCGATTTCTCGGCTCGGACCCGATGTCTTTAATGCCAAAATATAGGCATAAAAAATCTTTGTCACAGCTCATAACTTAGCACTATGCATCCATAAAGTTCCATATTTTTAATATTGATAACGATTTCATGCTTAAAACGTTCAGAATAACATGATTTAACCCAAACCTTTCATCAAAATCTTAAAATTATACACGAGGATGGCACCGTTGCTTTAATTTGATTAGCTGCCTTAGGTTACGTGCTTAAATTTGACCAATCACGAACCTTGTAGCAGATTATGTTGGTGAAACAAGATAAGTTGTTTTTTAAAATGTAAACTGACATGGCAGCCTTCGACATATGTGTTATTCATATGAAGCTTTGAAAACGGAGGTATTTCCTCATGTTAGTGAGTGGACAGCCACTATCATCAGGAAATGGGTGATGACAGATATTATTTGTAATTCTTTTTAAAATAATGTTCCTACTACGTAAACAAATGAAAATAAAAAAGTAATCGGTAAGTGGATTTTATTAAATCTATTATTTGCCGAAAATCGTTAAATTTTTGCTTCAGTGGTCTTAATACGGACGTTATAAATGTTTTAGCTTACATTATTTTTATCTTTAACAAACTTAATTAAGTTTTTAATGAATTATTTAAATAATGTAATACACATAACTTTCATATTTATAAACAGTGTTCCCGTTTACTGGTAATTACCGGTTTTGTACCGGTATAAATTATGCTAGGACTGGTAATTCATATGCCTGCCAGTCCCAGTGGACCGGCAAAAAGTACCTTATAAATCTTTGTTGTTGAACAAAAGATCGGTGATATTGAATAAAGTATATTTTTCGAATGAAGCCAGCATAGTTTGTTATCAGCAGGGTTTCCCCTGTTGTCTATTTTTAGCGCAAGGAAATAACATTACTCTTTGCTTGGAGGTTAAATATCTATTTCCAGCGACTTAGTCTCGAACCAAAGTGAAATGTCATTTCAAACCACGTGACCCAAGATTATGTAACATGGCGTCATCAAAGCAGACGAAGCTTTAATTTTTTTCGATGGCAAACCCGAGAATACCCGCAAACCTACAAATGATGAATTAGAAAAGTCATCCAGTACTGATTGTGACGGCGGGATTAAAAAGCCCAAAACTGCTACAAAAGGTAAAACGACTAAAATCAGGAAATTTCACGATGACTGGTTGAATGAATTTAAATGGTTACGCCACGAGTCCTAAACAGGGACAATGCTCCAGTACACAACTCTCATGTTGCCCAGACAGAAGCGCGGTCCTGTGGCTATGAAATCCTTCCATATCCTCCTTACTCTCCTGACCTTGCACCATCTGAATTCCACACCTTTCCAACTATCATGGAACTGTTCTGGGTGAACAATACCTTCCAAATGACGTGCTGGTTTTCTTGGGGAATTAGTCAGCAAAGAGCCAGAGTCATAGGAGACTAATCACAATTTTATTTACAAGAACAATTAACAATTTACAATATACTTAGATAATAACTGAGGGTGCCACAGAGAGTCGGTACACACTCTGGGCTGTGGGAGAGAGGTCTGCTTGGTAAGAGAGTCAAACCCCTTCTCTGCTTAAAACCTTACTTACTTACTTACTTACTTTGGAGATTTAACGTGCGCTTTCCGACTGATGCGTATTTCGCACACGGGCCCGGCCAGGCCATTTAATGTGTTTCCGAAAGGGGCGAAAGTGGTGTGTGCAACCCAAGAGGGGGCTTTAGGGGTTGCTTATATAGAATTTGGGAATTTTGAGATTTGGAATAGATGCCAATGGGGTAGGGGAGGAGAACTAAGGGAGCTGGGTATGGTGGATGTTTGTGTGTTTATGTAATTTTGATTTGGTGGATTATAGTGTTTTTAGATGCGTTTTATTAGTTTCGTTTTGATTAAGAATACGCCTAAGGCCTTGAAGTTTTCTAGTTTATTTTGTGGGTTTAGTATTGCTTCTAGAGTGAGAGCCTTGTTTAGATTGAGGGTGGTTTGTAATGCGGTTTGATGTGTTAGGTAGTGTGTGCAGTAGATGAGTGCGTGTTCTGGGGTTTCTAGTTGTTTGCAGTGTGGGCAGTTACCTGTAGTATGTTTTTTTATTTTTTTCTAGGTGGTTATTTAGGTTGGTGTGTCCTGTTTGGAGTTTAGTGATTACTCTGTCGATTTTTTTTTTATGGATGGTGAATTTTTGGTTTGGTTAGTGGTTTGCTGAGTACCTTTTTGATTTGGCTATTTGAGTTAAGATAAAGGTTATGCCATTTTTTGGTGATTTTTTGCTTATTTACACTTTTAATTTCTGATTTTGAGATGGGTAAGTTTAAGCTTATTTCTGGGATTTTGAGGGATAGTTTAGCTGCCTTATCGGCGTTTTCATTACCGTATATTCCTACGTGGGCGGGTATCCACAAGAAGGTTATTTGTTTGCCTGCGTTAGTTAGGTCGTTGGAGCTTTTAAGTATTAGATTTATTAATTTAGGTCGGTTTTTGGTATTTTTGTTTTGGAGGGCTTGCAGTCCACTTAGGGAGTCGGTAAGTATTAGGATTTTATTGTGGTTTTTGGATTCTTGACTATGGAGGGCTGAGGCCATGCCCATTAGTTCTGCCATGAATATTGATTGGTTGTTTGGGAGTCGGAAGGATTGTGTAGTTTTAGTTGGTTGTGTGGTATGGACTCCGAAACCTGTGTGTTTGGAGGTCGGATCTGAAGATCCGTCCGTGTAAATGTGACACCAATTTGGCTAATTTTCGTGTATGTATGCTAGTGTGGTGGTTTTAGCTATGTTTGGGTCGGTTTGTTTATTTATTTGGCTAGCTAGTGTTGTGTCTATCTGCTTAAAACCTGCCTACAGTATGTATTTAACAAAAATTTGAACAATAAAAGGGATGTGATTGGTTGATACACGATTGGTTGTGTCCTAAGCTAAATGGATGGCTAGACAGAGGGGAATACTAAATCCTGTTTATCCTGTTGGACTGGCACTAATCTTGTTGACATATTTACTGGATGCTTTGAAAGAGATTAGGGTGTCACTATAGATGAGCTTGTGTGGGGGCTAATCCTTAATGCACTATAGACGAGCTTGTATGGGGGCTAATCCTTAATGAGTCTTAATTGAAGTAATGTTATTCTAATATACCCCGGTAGGTGATGACAGATATACTTAAATAAATATCCTTTGTCTGGGAGATGGGATCTTGATACCTTAGGCTAGCATTTATCTAAAAGCTTCAAATCAATTAAACTATGTAGACGTAACTCTTGTCTTATTGAATAGCATGTCTAGAAGACGAGCTCCCATTACCTTAGGCTAGCAACCATCTAAAAAAGCTTTAACTGAAACTACTGATATTTTATATATGCATTTTACCTAATGATAATTATTACTTGCTAAACTATAATTATATGAAATGATGTATAAATATTACACCATGATAACTCATAAAAGCACTTGATGTAGGTCTAATTATTATAGGATAACTTAGTATAAATGTTATCCCATGATACCAACCATGAAGTCATTTTTGAAGGGAAAACGTTTCACAGATGATGAAACACTGATTTCTGAAGTCAAGTCCTGGTTTGAGATACAAAATAAGGGCTTTTACAAGCGAGGTCTCCATAGTTGCATAAAACGATGGGAGAAGTGTGTCACCCTTGGTGGTTCCTATGTGGAGAAAGACTAATACCTGTGCCAAGTTTCATTCCACTAGGTCCATCGGAAGTGGGTCAGGGGAAATCTTTAATGAACACCCCTCGTAAATGGCGGCAAAGCAGAGACAATATTTCTGGGAAACTATACCGTCCATGGGGGAACAGCAGAAATAATAACTGCAAAGATCAGAGAGGTGATGGAGGAACGGGGTATGCCAATGAACAAAATAATTGGTTTGGGATCAGACGGGGCGAGCATCATGAACGGCATCAGGAGTGGTGTTGGTGTGAGACTTAAAACAAGTGATTGTCCGTGCTTAGTGCACGTACACTGCATTGCACATCGTGTTGCCCTGGCGTCACAGGATGCAGCTAAACTATCAAAGTGCATATCGGATTACCGTAAACAATCAATGACGTGTATAAACTGTACCAGTATTCCACGACACGGTATGACAGATTAAAAGAACTTTCTAAAGTTTTGGACGACACAGAATTCTCCAGTGTCAAACAGCCCTGTACCGTAAGGTGGTTGTCCCTGATTCGAGCTGTTGCTTCTACAAGATTAAATTGGTCAGCTTTAGTCATTGAAATTGAGGAAGAAGCAGCCCAGCGTAACAACACAGTGGCGGTGAATCTCGCAAAAAAAGAAAGAAAATGTTTTCATTTGTTGCGACAACATTCGGCCTTTGATTTGCTGCCACTAACAAACATCAGAAATAAATTTACAATATATTCTGCCACAAAACACATACTGCAGTCATTGTTGCAATATTAAAGTTACATATGCATGAATACTTTCATTGTCAGAAAATATTTGAAAATCACTGCATTCAGAAAATGACATGGGTTTCTGGCATGTAGGTCTAATGTGAGATCAATGGTATTGACTGGTGACAGACAGTGATTATTGGCTATTTATTTTCAGGTAATCTTCAAAATGGATGTCTTTGGGAATGGAATTTTGGTGGAGCATTCTCGACTAAATGAAGTACTTCAGATCAGAAGTGATTTCTACACTTTTGATAAATTCCGGTACATGTGTATTTTGTCTGGTTGTGATTACCTTGCTTCATTACCTGGAATTGGATTGGCAAAAGCAAACAAGGTGTTTAAAATGGCCCGACAACCAGATCTTAAAGTGGTAAGTATTTTAATAAGAACTAAATGCACTAAAGTTGACAATGTGTCAACAACAGATGGGGATTCTTGAAATGCTTTGTTTAGTGTTTTGGTTATTGTCTCGAGGGTGGTGTGTGGTGTGGGTGTGGGGTGATAACTGAATAACTCAGAAACCATTTAATATTTTATTATAAAACTTTGCATGTGTATGAAACACATGCTGAACTGGTGCCTTTTGATGTGTTTTCTTGTTTTACTTAGTGCACAGTGTCTGCAATGGGGACAGATTTTCTTTGAAAACCATCTTGTTACATGACTGAAACTTTGCATGCTTATATAAGAGATACTTGTCAAGACTGAGTTAAAAAACTGAAAGAGTAATTTTTTCTTCTTTTGGAATTTACTTCCCTTTTTCCATGTATAGTCACTGCTATACGCCACCCGTGAAGATCCGGGTTAGAATAGGTGTCTTCAGCAACCAATGCTTGCCACATAGAGGCAACTGACAGGATCTGATAATTAGACTGGCTGACTTGGTTGATGCTCATGATGTTAATAACCATATTTTCTGGTCCAGCCTCAATTATTTACGATTGAATTACATGTTATGCTTCGGTTTTTGTAAAAATATTAATATAATTACCATTATCATTGTACTGAATAGATTTGGTCTTCAGACATAAATTGAACAAAGCTATACCATTGTAGTATTATTTCTTCCATGGACAACAATTTGATTAGATTCTAGAATGTGATTGCACATCAGGATCCGTTTACAATATGATTATAATACAGTCCCAGAAAGTGTCTGCTTGGGCACATTCGGGGACGTCCGTCATTGCTGGAGGAACACCTTATTTTAAGCTGCTCTGGCACTTCCGAAGAGGCCACATCATTGCTGGGAGGGATACTTCAATATTTCTTGAAACCCTACTCCACACATTCTGTCATGCGAGGTGTGAAGGGTTTGTATAGCAACACAACAAACTATTCCGGATGTGCAGTTGCCAACTACAAGTGACTAGACACGGTTACTTGAACAAGTGAGTTGTGTATTGTGGCTGTACCAACTTCCCTGACACCCAGAAGTAAACCCGGGTGTCATTCTCATCATTTACTAGAAGTGGTACTGAGCTTGGCTGTTGTCCCACGGATCCTTGCCACCAAGTTGGCAACCTCACCTATATCATTGAGTGTTATTTCTGGGGGACAGGTAGGGTGTATCCATCTCTAAGGAGATGGCTTTCTCTTGTTGAGATGTGAATCTTGCCACCATACCAGAGAATCCAAAAAAGGTCCTGGGGAATTTGACCAACCAGGCCTCTGGGACCTTGAAATCTCCCCCGAAAGCAACAGACATGAATGCTCATGTCTGACACTCTAGCTCCTGACACTGCCTGTCCTGGCAAAAGACCTCTCTTAATATTTTGAGTCCACAGCTGATTGATAGTTTTGAAAATTCTGCAACATGGACTCTCAAGGATGTTAAGGTTTGTATTTCTCCTATTTATTCGGCTGAAAGCTGACTACAGTTAAATTAAAATAGGAAAGGGGGAATATTGAGACTATTTCTTGTGTGCAAAGTAGTGGCAATAGTAAAGCCTTGGTCTGCCCCCACACTATCACCAGGCTGTACAAGATCAAGAAAAATACCAAACACTTCACAGCATTGTCATCTCAGCATCAGATATACCAGCTGTAGACAAACATGATACAAAGTTCACAGCATCGTGAGGGGCTATACCAATCAGGCTTTAGAGTGGGCGGCTAGTTTTGTAAAGTGTATAAAACTTTTGAGTTGAGGACAAAGGCCGATGGGATTTGAATTTTTATTTCAGTGCAATCAACAGAATAGTCCTGGGTCTTCCAGCCAAGGAAACATTGTCAGAACAAACATAATACATGCTACACATTTTTGTGGCACTGGGTTGATCAAAATAAAAACATCACTTGAAAGTATCACAGTCAGTAATGAAATATGATAGTGCATGAAATGGGTCAGTTCTAGTTCTTGATACTCCAAAATTCTCAAGAGCCAGATGGTTATTGAGTAGATGGTTCTCCCATTGTTCAACATGGACCTGCATCTCCTTTATTTCAAATTGTGCCTCACACCCCACATTCTGTGTGGAATGATCATTCCCTTCAACCTCATGTCCATCACACCTCCTCCTGGAACCAGGTTCTCCTCACACTACAAACAAAATAATACTGATTTAATATAAATGTTTCATAAATAAAGTAAAAAGAATTAATTATAATGCCATCTTGATTTATGACATTTATTAATACACATATTATTATAGTGGACAGTTGTAAATTCTTACACTATATTGTTCTGGCCTATAGGATCAAGGGGGGCTTCCTTGGTGTTGTGGCCACAGTCCATGCAAATATGGATGGGATTGTCCCTGATTTCAGTATTCTTTGCACAGGGGCATACTTGTTTACAACACACAAATCAAGGACTGGAATTTAAACCATTCATATTAGCTTTATATGTGTAGTCCATTTCCAATCTAGAAATATGTATATTCTGACCAGAATAAATGTAATTGTTTGAAAGTCGATATGTTATCATCATGTGACCTACATTAGTATAAATATTAGTTCCCGGGTGCCGTTTTACAAAACAACCTTAGACTGTCCATATGTTAAGGTATGGAAGTTACGATCACCGACACGCTAATATCGCTTTGTACAACGACACCCAGGATATATATATAGATCTATATATATGAATTATATATGATAATATGTAGTATTAATGTGACGAGAAAAGAAATCAATATTGTATTCAGAAAAAGGCACGAGTACTTCGTACTGAAACGTCATGGTAGCTGCGATAAAATCAATAGTTGATAAGCGATATTCGCTCATCAGTTTTGCAAAAACATGAATGAAAATTTTTACTTACGGTAAAGGACTTCCCTATAACTTGTCGGATGGCTTCCAGTCATCGTTTCCGCAAAGATAAATCGACCGGAACAACGATGAAAACTCATAGATTTATGTCACCTCGCATCGGAAACGCATTCGAGGAAACGGCGATGCTCCGATGCCATTTTGAAAGCTTGCGGGGATAGCCTCGTTTTGGAGTTTGACCCCAGGGTCACGCATAAATATTAAGAGACGGCTATGGACTGCCAACGGAAGGCCTGATGGCTGGAGTTTGAGAAGGCATTGGAATACCTCCCTCTGTCGCACCCAGGAGGCTGGAGAGGTGGACTTGTCTATACCGACCTCTCCTAGGGCGACGACTTGAGGCTGTTTCAGGAGGTGGCTGATCTTTTCCTGGATTCCCTGGTTAAATTGGTCTGCTTTCTCAGGATGCAGGCCAATAGCATGGTGATTCCTTTTATCCTGGCCTCTGACCTTTGCATATGTGGCCTGGTCACAATGAAACAGACACCACACTAACCAGCCCTCTCTTGGGCTGGTCACACTTGCCAGTGACTGTGGCCTTGGTACCAAACCCGGACTAAACAGAGCCTTAAATCTGGTTCACTGCTCCTCTGTCAGCAGGTTGAGGAGGTTCCCAACCACCTTCCAATGAAGGAGAACAGCCACAGAGTTCACCGGACACATGGAACCCCAAGGGCCAGCTTGTGTGAGTACTCTCTCATCCAGCTTGGGGAAATGGGATATTTTTCTAACAAATCGGAGCCATTGGGGTAATCTACAAGGTCCTCAGGAGTAGATCTTTGATGGAAGATCTGTTTGGCCGGCCAGATCAGTGCTGTCTGGGCTTTAACCAGATGCTTCACCTCAGTCTTTCATCATCAAAACACTGGCGCAAATGGCTCATCAGGTGTTGTCTGAGATGATGGTTTGGCCGTGGTTGTGTTGTGTAAACACTGGCTTGCTGGGTTAGCCAGGGTTAGTCAGGGCTCATGAGGTCTTGATCATCAACCCCAAGGCGACATGTTTTTAATTACTTGGTTTACAGATGCGCTGCTCTTTCAAAGTCCAAATGTTGAAAAAAAATAAAAATAAAAATTACTCCTTTTTTTTTATTCCTGGCGATCTTTACTTTAAAAAATGCATAAAAAGTTCAAGCAAGATTTCATTTGCTCCGCGAGTGTAAGGCAAAGGGAAGTCACTCTCATATTTTAAGCCACGAGTAACCAGACACCACAGGCAGGTAGACAGGCCAAGTCACCTCAAAATAGTATATACCGGTAAGTTTATTAACCTTCGGCATGATATGCAGTATTCCTAACAACTGTTTAGGATGGATGACAGTGAAGAGGATGTCTGTTGAAAATCTGAGGAGTTTTTATAGTGTGATGTTGACCAAATTACAAGAATATTGACTATGATGTAATTGAGTATATTGAGTATTCTTAGAATAATACACAATGATAACTATTGTTTCATTCCTTGATAAATTTCTATTACTGCATTTGCAATATAACAAATCTATGTTCCTGGTTTACAGTTGCTTTCCAAACTGCCGTCCTATCTGAAGATGAAGCTGGTTGTGACGCAGGAATACATTGACAGATTTGTACAGGCAGACAACACCTTCCTCTATCAGTTGGTATTTGATCCAGTGAAAAGAACCCTTATACCGCTAAACCCATACCCGCCAGAAGTATTTCCGTTACAGATGGACTATGCTGGACCGTATCCTTTGCAGACAATGTTTAATGTTTGACACTGATAAAGCTGTACAAATAATTGCGAGAACACAGTTGGCCATTATGTTCAGGTCACCCGGAAAAAGGATATTGTGGAAAAATAGTTTAAGCCCAGCTGAATTAAAGGTCATGTAAGATTAATCGTGGCCCGCCTTGGCATTCTTTGATGTTAAGAAATGAATAATCTCTTGTTAAATCTCTTCAAAGGAATTGTGTTCACTCTGTAGTTACTCATGAGTGGCCTTCTTCACTTGGCCACACACACACACACACACACACACACACACACGAGAAAGCAGGTCCTAGAGCTATGGGAATGTTTGCCACACTTACCGCATTTGTGAGTGTACTTACAGTTGACCCTGCTACAGCCAAATTTATTGAAATCCCAGCATACCTGACTGGCGATGTCCCCCTGTACGTGTGTCATTGCGCCCCGTCCGCCTGATTCTGATTGTAGTACCGGCTGTGTTACCATGTACTTCAGCCACAACTCCCCGTCGATGTTGTCCCAGCGTCGTGAGGGATCCCTTGGCATTCTGTGTCGGAATTGTTGGTCGTAGGTTGACCAGGCACCCCCCCCCCCCCCCCCCCTACCGAATCGAAGTGCCGCCGTTCTTATGGTTTCCATGTAGGACAGCAACCCCCTGGGTTGTGCGGACCTCGGAGTGCCTACTAACATATATACACATGAAAATGTGGAAAGCTGAAGTCCAGCTTGCCAGGGACAGGCGCTTTGGTTGCTGCTTTATTGGTTTAAAATTACCTTACCTGAGGAGTCATACGCCATGGTAACTTCGTGACTTCCCTCGGTGTTTGGTAGGATTGTGCCGAGGTCGACATACTTGCCACGCCAGATTTTTTCCCTCACCTGTTGTTTGACGTGCGCGTCTATTCCGTCCGCACGGAAGGAAAGGGAATCCCCGTATCCTGCGATGTGATTGGCTGGCCAAGCCGCGTCACCGTCGGCCTCGTTGTGAGCATCGGGGATTCTCCCTATGTTGGGCGAAATGGCGGGAGAACTAAAACCAAGCCTTACCTGTTGGTTTGCGCTAATCGGGCCGGGGGCTGAATGTTCCAGCAACTGGCGTATTTTTTCCAGTTGCTCGTTTACCTGGGTAGCCGAGTTGGCAGCCTGCGCGGCATTTACAAGCTGCGCCGATTGTACGTTAGTTCTGTTGCCACCTTCGATATTTCCGTAATTGGCAGACTCACCATCAACTGTTGCCTCCTGTACAATGTGTACTCCCGGGGTTTGTCTTCTGGTTGTCCTGGCCTGCTTGGCTCCCCTCACAAGCTTGTGGTTGACGGCTGCTCTTCTCTTGGGAGGCATCACAAAAGGTCGAGGTGGTGAGTTGGTATTCCACAAGCGTAAAATTGTCCCGAGGGTGAAGTTCGGGAGTAGAACGGAATAAATGTGATACGGCGAGTGCTGAAATAGATGGTATTCAAAGCATAATCGGCGAAACGGTCGCGATTGTGTAAATGCGATACGGCGAGTGTTGGAATAGATGGTATTCAAACGGTCACGACTGGGTACAAATGAAACGTACAAAGCGAAAGCGATTAGATACAGTGACACACGTGTGTACTTGGGGAAGGGCTGTTCGCGAATGACGGACTAACAAAGGGCGGGATGATGCTTGCGCGGGATTATTCCCCAGGCACGGTGCCGAGTGGTGACCCGGGGTGATTGAGTTACGAGGGGTGATTAGGTTACAGACGTAATTAGCCCATGGTTTGGATACGAGCGATAAAGTCATTTAGTAGTTAGTACTAAATGTAAATATGAAAATCTTGCATCTTGACATTAAACCTATTGTTTGATGTTCTGTGGAGGATCCAAAAGTACATAGCTGAAAGCAAGCTGAACCTTTGCCATCATACACACTGTGTATGTAAGGTTATTGGTGGGACGATTGGTGGGCTTTGAGATCTGGCCATCTCAATGTTCAGTATAAATCATGAGTTGGGGATATTTGGCAAGACGGAACCTTTCCCATCTCCTTTACTTTGTATATACAACTATAGGGGAAGATCGGACATAATAAGCTGAACCTCTTACCCTTCTGATATACAATATATCTGAACAGTAGAACAGCAAAGATAGGCCCACCTCAATTTGGGGGGATAAGGTTAAGCCAAGACTATTTTGTCCCTGGGAATGAACTGGCCAGGGGAAGGTTTTGCCAGGTAAGCAGTTTAATCAAGTTCTTTACTGATGAATTAATATTAATTTTTAACTTATCCTACATTACTCCTTAATGCAAACACTGCCTTCCTTATGACAACAAAGACACCGCTCAGTGATGGTCTTGGGTAAAAAAAAAAATGTTTTCGTTTTCAAATCCTGCTTTTTGCATGGATCATTGCCACTGTTATGTGACCTTGATGACAAGTCACTTTCCTCACATCACTGCCTGTCGCATAACAGCAAGGACGTCTCTCAGCGGAGCTTTTCAAATTGGATTTCTTTAGACCACTAGCTTCGGTTATTACTCTAAATTATATCTGCGATGGGTGATGTATTCTTTTCATATTACTCTCACTATTTTGTGCGTTTATATGTGGGTGATATTGGTGTGTTTTTCTCCTCCTCATAGCTTGTTGCTTCCCGCCATTTTAAATTTGGTACAATTGTTTACCTGCTAAGGTAGTCAAATTGTTTGCAATTAGTAGCTGGGTATTTGTAACATGCTTATGTGTATTTAAATACTGGTAGACTTTGGCGTTACATAGAGTTTGCATGTATCATTTCATTGTACACACTTTCAACTCGTAAAACATTTGCAGATAGATATTTGTTAAATTCTTTTGCAACTCTTCAACTCTGTATCAATCAATGACTCCGTATTTGCATAACATATGCTTACGCGGTGTACTAATTATCCCCCAATTGCGTGGATCGATGCTCATGATATTAATCCCTGGATTGTCTGGCCCAGACTCGATTATTTACAGACCGCCGTCATATAGCTGGAATATTGCTGAGTGCGGCGTTAAACAACCAACCAACTAATTATGCTCCTTATATAAGATCCTCATCCACACTGTTTGGCTTGCACACAGATTTGCTCTCCAGACTTTTAAGTGTTATATTTGTTCACCTCTCTCTCCATCGAGTTTTGCTCTATATAGACGGGTCACTCAAAAACATATTTTGTAGCAGTCCCGTCGTGTTGCGAGGAAGAAGGATACCATATGGTCACATACCACCTCAATTCCAGTGGACCCGATGTTGAGAGATATGGTTAGGGCACTGGACGAGGATTTCTCTCACAACTTTCTGGTGCCAAAGAAAGACTCGGACAAGATGTGATTGATTCTCCGTGTTCCACGAACATTATCTAATGCGTCCACCTTACTTCCGTCTCACAACATTGAGACTGCTCAGAGCCAGCATCAATGCGTTCAACTCCTTTATCAGTCTTGACTTGCAGGATGCATACCTGCATATACCTATCCCCCCTTTGAGCCCCTCTGCGCATCCTCATTTTATGACCTCACCAAGAAAACAATATTTCCCTTGTCATTAGCCTCTGCGGCATACATGCAATCGACATTACCCAGGTCTGTTTTGAGCATGGTATGATCGGAGCGGTACATCTCGGGTTGTGCTGGGATTTTATAGCAAAAATCAACTACCAGGCCAACCTGATCGATCCTTACACATCCCACCAATTTCTACGATTGTGGGAGTTGAAGATGAGGGTGAACTCCTCTTGTGCCCGCCGTTTTCATCCGCTGCTCCAAACTTAGGAATGTTTGAGGAAACGGTTATTCATACCTGTATCCCTCATGGCCACGACCGAAGTTAGTCGCAACACCATATCTCTATGGTTACATGCAGTTATCCTTCAGGCTTTTGGGATCGCCAAACTCAAATCCCCGTGAGCGAATAATCCTCACGAGATAAGGGCGTTAGCCTCTACCATGGGGTTGCATAGTAACTATTAGAGCTATCATGGAAGGATGATTGGAGGTCTGACACGGTTTTCGGTAGTCATTATCTTCGCGGTGTGGCTCTCGAGGACTACCCTCTGGTAGTAGCCCGCGTTGGTTTTATGAGACATGCCCAGTGGAAGAAATGAAGACAAGCTTTTTTATCAGGCTTTGGCTCAGTGACACAGGTAAAGATTTTAACTTTAGCTATCATCCTTTATTACCATGTGTGTGCAGGGTGTGCATTCTTATGTTCCATCTGTAAATAAGATTGGACTAACCCTACCCTTAAGGTGTTTTTTCTATGCTTTTTCCGCCTCACAGATTATTGACAAACATGTGTCGTTATTTGGGTGTGAATTATTGAGGTTTTGGACATCTGAAGGTATACCCGCCTCCAAACCATCCGATGCAGACGCATCAAAAAGATGCAGGATAAGTAAAAAAATTAGTAAAATCTAAATATTTTTTACATTTGTATACTGATCCTGCATTACTACGTTTATGGACCCACACGTAACAGAATTGCCTCCCGACTTCAGAAACCTCAAAAGATTGCTTTTTTTTTAAAGCTTGGCCGACAGGCTGTGATGTGATGAAGGTGACTTGTTCATATTCATATAGGGACTAAGGGTCTCTATTTGTGTTTATTTCATTAACAATGTGAACACAAGTTGGCTTCAATGGAGAGTTGTGCTGAGACACATACCACTTAGATGATCTAAATATTCTTCCTGAAATCCATTTTCACCACTTCATTCTGAACTTGAACTACCCTGATATTTCCAACCCACTCATTCAATCACTCATTCCAAGTTTACCTTAATACTGAAGGATTATGGATGATAAACAAGCTTTGCAGATTGCCCTTGGTAACATAGACACAACCAGTGGACAGAGAATTGGAGAATTTGTTCCTGCAAAATTCCAGGTAAGAAAAACACCCCACAGGAAAGGAAATGTCTTTTCCATGACCCAAACGTATTGAAACTTAGTGATATTTTGGATTTAGAAATGTGGATATGTTTTGTGAAGAGAACAACCAATCTGGGATTAAAAGTAATGAAATATGAGCTCTCAAATCACCAGACCCTTTTCCTTCTTTGACTGTCAGACATTCATGAACATTCAGTCATGTTTATAGATTAATATCTTTAAAACTTACATATAGCAGAATTGTCATTACACGTATCCGATAAATTGCAGCCTTCCAGTATCTTGGCTGAAACATGACTTGGGATGTCTAAGATAGCACAAGAGGGATATCATTACGAAACATATGAAGTTATGAACCGTCAAAAACAGTGAAAATTTCTTGTGTTTCTCTTATAAAAACATCAGTGCTGTGTCAAAGCACCAAATAGATTTACCTAGAAGGTATGTTTAAATATAGGTGGGATTCTTTTCTTAAGCATAACAACTCTATGTATTTGTATACCAGTACACATCAGTTTGGTGCCTTTTACTAGTCGGAATATTTATTACTATACCTCCAATCTGCGCGGTATATAGTTATACCAAGGATTTCTGTCTGTCCGTCCTTCCGAGGACAGTATTTTGTGCTACCTATACTTGAAAACGACTGCATGGTATGGAGATTCATCTCCCGCGGGGGATATATATAAGAACATACGTCCGTCCATCCACTTCTCAATGTGGACAAACTTTCATAAAAACTATTTTAAGTTAGAGAAATGAAATTCTACACACTGATGTTACTGGTCACGATCTCAAATGAGTTCGAAAATTGGTGTCGTACATTCAATTTTTTACAGAGTTGCAGCCCTTGCTCCATTCTTTTCTACTTAGTACATACTGTGTGAAATTGTGGACAAGTTTTCTCAGCAACTATTAAAACTACATGAATGAAAGTTTGCATGCTTATATGAGAGATACTTGTCAAGACTGAGTTTGAAAATTGGTCCCGTCAATTATTGTTTTCTAGAGTTATGGCCCTGGTTCCATGCTTTTCAACTTAATGCATACTGTCTTCAGAAACTACTGACGTTACATGAATGAGACTTTGCAAGTTTATCAAAGAGATACTTGTCAAGATTGAGAAAATTTATCCCATGAAGTATTGTTTTACAGAGTTATGGCCCTTGCTCTATACTTTTCAAACTAGTGCATTCTGTGTGAAATGGGGACAAGTTTTCTCAGAAACTACTGAAGTTACATAATTGAAAGTTTGCATGCTTTTCTAAGATATACTTATCAAGACTGTGTTTGAAAATTGGTTTTCTCAGAAACTACTGAAGTTAGCTTATCTAACAGATACTTGTCAAGACTGAGTTATTTTTTAGAAAGTTATTTTTTCAAAGAAGGGACCTTTTGTGTGTATTAATTTCACAGTTAATCAATTATTCTCATGACATAAAGCAGCCCAAGTGCCTATCTCTTTTTAAGGCTTTATTCGACTTTTTATAGTTTATATTAACTACTATATGAACAAACAAAATTCTAATGTGCCTCATGGCAAGGGATAGTGATAATGATGTTTGTTACACCACTAAAGTTTGCAGCAAGTAATGTTTTCACATGTGATAGAGTGATGTTGAAGATCAAGGTCACTCACTGGGAAGTTGATGTCCCATGAAGCGTGGGTACACGATATCTTAGCCATTAATAATTGGAATTTGATGAAATATTATATATGGGTCATTATCAAAATATGTATCCTTTTTATGTCAGTAATCTCTTTCTTACATAAAGTTTGACTTTCATCACTAATATTTCAGTGGGGAACCAAATTAAAATATTTCATCATACAAATTTGCCATGTCAGTGCTTTTTTTCCCCCGCCGAGCCAGAATGGCCGAAGGGGGATTATGTCGTGGCGCAGACCGTCCGTCCATCCGTCTGCCAGTCCGTCCGTCTGTCCATCGTCCGTCTGTCCGTCCCACAGAGGATACAAAGCTTGTGAAATCAACTCCTCCAACAGTTTCCAGAGAATATCCCTGAAACTCTACACACAAGATGTCGACATGTTGATGATACGCATATCGCAGTCCCGTTTCATTTCGACTAATTTTGACAGAGTTACTGCCCCTGTTTTACGGAGCTTCATTTGCCTAATTGTGAGAGAGGTACTAAGCTTGTGAAATCAACTCCTCCTCCAGCTTTTAGAGAATATCCCTGACACTCTACACACAAGATGTCAACATATTGATGATATACATATCGCAGTCCTTTTTCATTTCGACAAATTTTGACAGAGTTACTGCCCCTGTTTTACAGAGCTTCATGAAATCTACTCCTCCAGTTTCCAGAGAATATCACAATATCTAACTATAACTATAACTTTAGTTAGTTTCCTTGTATAAGGCTTTTGTGGGTGAGCTACATCCTTATGGCATTAGTATTCAGACTGGATTTCTCCCAACAAAACGTTCTGCACAATTTGCTTCAAATGCAGTGCCATCTACTGTTGTTATTTCATAAAATACAAAGAAAATATAAACTTGTTAAAAAAATTCATGCAAGGGATGTTGTGCTCTCAGAGCACTCTTGTTTTGCTTGTGGTGGAGTGGTATATAGTCTGAAATTGTTGAAATATCACTGTCAATAGACAACGAATGCATTTTTGAGTAATCATATTTCAGATTTTATGTCATATACATGAGTTTTTATGTTGTTATTTTACTAATGGGATCAGTTTCCTCTATGATTCTATCTTTAAATAATGAAAATAAGCAAAGCATGCCTGTCTAAAAGGTTCTTGTCCTTGGTGTTACCATTTGCTAAATTAGGTGTAAGAGTTGTCCATCTTAATGTAGAAAGAAGGTAAATGAATGCTCCCTTATCATATCAATTCCTGTCTTCCATGAAGAAAAGATTTTTATATTTTTTTAGTCAACTGAAGAAAAAGTTATTCAAACGAAAAAGATTACACCAAGCAAGGACGTATATACATCACCTTTTGAAAGTTCCATGTCTTTGGTGTAACTTTGTATACCTTGCTGCTACCACAAGTCAGCAATTATTTACTTAGAATGGGCAATGGCTAAGCATGTCTTGTGACATTGAAATTACAACTCTTTTATCATATTAACACTTAAATGTGTATTTTTATTAAAAGACTCTAACTTAGGGTTAGATGAAGCTAAATGTCTTTGGTATTACTTAATATGTCCTTGGTGTTACCACAAGTCAGCAGTATTACCATCAAAGAAAATATTGTGAAACAAAAATGCCTGATGCCTTTGCAAATATGCAACACCAACTATAGTGCATCATTTCCTACTGATAGATTATTTTGACATGAAAGTAAAGTCACTGTAAGTAATTGTTATGTCTTTTGTGTTACTGCCTTGTCTTTGGTGTAACAGTTTTGTCTTCGGTGTTACCAGACAAAATTCTGAAAATTATTCAGGTCAACACACATTGCATAGCATGATTTTCAACAAGTACAAAGAACATGTTTAATAAACAAAGAATATCAAAATTAAATTGATCATTTAGTAATGCATGAGCCACAGAAGAGAAAATTAATTTTATTTAAATTTCTCATAAAGAGTGGTGATATTAAAAGTGTGATTCCCTTTCTTTTTTAGGCAGAGGTAAATTATTAGTTTTACAATAATACAGTGAAAGAAATATTACATTTTTAAACTTATCCTATCTCACACTTTGCATTTCCACCTTCTTCTTCAATCCTATGTGGGAACGTGCTTGAATCATGTTTCCAGCTTCTAAAACTAAAAATATCCACCCAAGCCCCCTGCATCTCCATGGTTACATCCAAAAGCTAGGTCAATTACGTGCCTCTCGTCCACACCGTGCCTGCTTGAACTGACGACGTGTACGTCTCTACCAATTCATTCTCTTTCTCATCTCCACTGTGTGGCGACGTGTTTGAAAACATCATAGAATCATTGTCCTTCGCCAGGTTATTCGAGTTCGTAAATAAATATGGGAAGAAGGACAATCAACGTCCTGCTTGTAAAGAATGCAGACGTACCAATTCCGTACCAAGTCTGACCAACCCGGGTCCTGCTCTCATTATACCAGCGACAGATTGCTCCAGTCCTTTCAAAGTCCCGCTCTTGGATTCGGCTATCGCTGCGCCCCCCCCTGGGGGCTAGAGTTACAGTCATCGATACGACTTCATCTCGGGTCGTTTTAGATCGTCACACTTCGGTACAACGTTCACCCTCCAAGACGACAGATTGGCATTCCCGCTCCCACGATCGGCGCTCTGATTCTAAGGATTGGTATTCCCGCTCCTGGAAGCGGTGCTCTCACTCACAGGATCAGTGCTCCCGCTCCAAAGGTCCGCTTTCTTGCTCCTGAGATCAGCGCTCTCGCTCACAGGATCGGCATTCTCGATCGGGTTTCCATGAGCGTCATCGTTCCCGCTCCCGATCGTCTTCGACTAACGATAGAGACCGATCATCCATCATTGACTACCACCATAGCAGCTACCCTCACGGGACCTTGTCGGCGGTTGATACCTATGCGGCCCATCATAGAGGATGGGACATCTACCATGATTCTTATTACCAGCGTCCAAGATACCCCTACTCACGTTTTCCTGACTACCGCTCTTCTGCCGGCTACGCCTACCCACCTCACAGATCACAGGATCGGCGTTTGTTGTCGTATAAAGAACGTGATCGTTGAAGTCATTCTAAACTGCAGTTACAGCAGACGACTTCGGCTGCAGATAGGGTCTCTGGATTCGCAGTTCCATCAGCTAGTTCGTCCAAGATTACGCTCACTCCAAGACCGGTCTTACTGGACATTAACTCTAACCTAGACACGGCTTTCGCGTCCTTTCGTCGACTTCGGGATCGTCTCCATATCCCCAGCTTCATCCTTGAAGACACAGGCACTCATCGTCGCTGTGGTGTGCTACATCATTCTTCCTGGTATGACCAATTTAAGGCCAAACTGTATCAACAACCCTGGTCTTCCCGCTCCTTGTTTGCT